CAAAATAAAAGTGATTGTATTTGAGGATCAGGATTATTGAGACTATATACAACTGGTCCAATACCAACAATTAATGTCATGAGATGATCTAGAGATGCTGCAAAAAAGTCTAGAAAAAGGATGTTTCGAAGAGTAATGTTTTATATGATAAAAATTAATTCTAATATTGCTACTTACAAATACAACAAGAAGTTGATCGTAATTGTGGACGAGAGAAAATGATGAGATTGAGTAAACATCCGATGATGCCAAGTATAAGCCATGTTGGGTAAATACAGAGAGTTAGAGTTTTTTGAATAATACAAAGCGTATTAATCAAAGACGAAGGTGATGACATTGTCATATAATATAACTATCTGAAACAGAGATATATGAATAACAAGCTATGATGAAAATACTACTTCGATTATAATCAAAATCGTATGATATTCGCCGTTTGAATTTGAAAAGAATGAAAGTGGATAGTTTTAAAAGTCTACTTAATTTCTAGTAGCAAATGGATCTTGAGAATACTGAAAGAAGATGTGTTTGAAAAATAAAGAAGTCATCAATATAATGAACGTATTCTAATCCCTGTTAGATAGATCTTATTAGAATGAAATTTTTTTGTCAAATGTTCTTCCGCTTTTCTGAAATATATTTTAACTTCTTCATAATATTTTTTTTTGTTCTTGACTATCATAACCACACCCTCGGAGTGTTTCATCTTCTACCTTCTTCATTACTTATTATGATTCCCAGACTCTATAGTATATATTTCACTTGCCTTGGTAGATGCAGTCGTGTGATGCGTCATATTATTTTTCAGACGACATAAAAATCTTAAATTACTGTAAGCTAATTTCTCAAGACTGGTTAATTCCTTTTGATAATCTTTCTATGAGAGAATGCTATGATAAAAGCAGATTGGCACAAATTCACTTCAATCACTCGTCTTAATATTCTATAGTGTAATTTACACACATGGTATTCCATGAAGGTGAGAGACGGCTGTAACAAATGTGATTAATATCAAAGAAGTATCTTCCGAAAAATTGGTAATATTGTTAGCAAATGAAATAAAAGGCACCTACAGTCATACTAAACAATGGTTAATCAAAGAAAGTCGGCTTATTTTAAAATCAGTACTTTAAATAAATGTTTGAACAACAAACTTTCAGATTTATTTTGCTATGGACTTACTTTTTTTTGATTATATTTCCTAACTGATGTATTGGTTTTTCAAAACTAGGGAATAAATGCATAATATATCAGCGAATCATTGAACAATCAATTTTCTTTGTTTCATTGTCATTGAATGGTCTAGTAGTTTTGATAAAAAAAGAACTTTTTATGTGATATAGATGAACATTTTTATGCAAGACTTTTCAAGCAGAAACAAATCTTTGAAAAATATTCCTATAGTATGCAAATGCGTTCATGCATAGTTTTCATCAACATCAAACATTTACACGTCAAAAACACTACACTAATAGTCAACAGAAGTATGTCTAAAAATTTTTTTTTTCAATTATGTTCACATGACATAAAAGCAACAAGGTACTTGATGAATTTTAAAACTTATTATAAAGTCGTCATAAAAATAAACTAATTTCTTTACAACTATCTTTTTTTTCAATATCATGTATTCCATGTTTCAACATGTAACATCTTCTATACGTTTTATAAAAGTCATGATATTCAAACACATTCTGTAAAAGTAGATTATCTTATACAGAGAAAATATAAAAGCAATAGTGAAATAAAATATACTACGGATCATAAGTGATAGCGAGACAAAAAACTAAAATAACTTCGCATCGATTTCAAATGAATGCATACGAGTTCTTTGTGCCAATAATTCGGACACATTAGTTCTTCATCTTTTATCTTTTCAACTTTCTGAAAGACGTCGGCCGCCATCCAACTGAATGCTCTAACTTCATGAACAGCAATAGGTACCTGTTGACTTTACCACTTTTTAATCCTTTCCTTATGATGTTATTTTTTTACTGGCAATAAATCATGTATTTTTTTGTGGTAAAAAACAAGCTCGAAGCAAGATATATACACGAATGGCCATTGTAAACAATGATGTCATTATTCTGGTTATGCGAGGGTACTTTTACGGTCTGATTAACCAGCAGAGTCCTATAGGATGATTCCATGCAACCCTATTATGTGGTAGATTTGGATACAACGAGAACAGAGTAGATAGGATTATTACACAGCTATTGACAAAGCCATAATACTGACTTTGCAAGTGATACCTTTGGAGTGACGTGTTTTAACTGAGAAGTAAATACGTTCTATTTTATGTGTAAAGACATTTTCCCTGAATATTGTGTCGTGACACACTCTAGTACGTCTCAGGGGTAATAATTTTTCGTTAGATTTTTAGAGTATGGACAGTAAAGATATCATCAGGCAGAAAAAATTATGAAAAATCATGGCCTTGCAGAACTCGAGTAAAATTCAATTTGTATGTATACGGGACTTGTTATTTATTCGGTCTTCTCTCACTTCTCTCTCTCTCTTACGTATGAATTCGTGTTCTTTATGAAATAGATTCAACTGCAATGATAGAGTATTGTAGTGAATATCATATATCGAGAGTAGCAATAACATGACTCCTCCACTGTGTCATTGCTAATCACAATACAATATGTACTGCATTAAAAATACCAAGACATTCCAACTCGAAATACTGCTTCTAATTTTTCTTGATTTACAGTGCTTTCTGGCTGAATAAATAATTTTATTGCATTTCTCCGAATAGTACCGACGAATACGCTTGTTTTCGGAGGTCGGAATCATTCGACTGGAATTCATTTGCATTGGCTGATTTTTTTATGAGCGATAGACGTCTATTCAATGTTTTTCTCATGCGATTAATGCAAGCAAATGCTACAATCAAGTGCTATTGTTGAGCTCATTAAAGAAGTATTGCCTGTTGTCAAATAAGGAAAATGCATATGTGACGCTCCATGGTCAAGATTACGGCCTTTGTTAATGACGATATGTGACGTCGTAAACAATCGTCTACGACTGAACACGTTTGTATTTCCAAATACGTAGCATATGGGGCAAACACGAATGCCTGTCCATGGTTGTACACGAGTCTCTTGCTCCATAAATAAACAAAAGGTTACTTATTTATTTAAAATGCATAGTTACTACTCAGTCTGTTTTTTCGGATTAATCTGAATAGAGAAATAAAATTATTTATTGAAAATGAATACTACTTAATCACCTGTTTCCTCTAATACAAATAAATAAATTCATCTCATTGAATTCGTTGTTGAATTCAAAAAGTCAAAAACCAAAATGCTTAATAAGTGCAACGGATCTCAAAACTAACTTAGTACCACGTGGGATCGTGTACGACAGACATTTATGTTCGCTGAAAACGTTATTTATATTTAACTGTGTGATGTTCCATACGTTCATGATATACAATGGTCGTATAAGACAACCATTGTTTGACGTATTTCGCACTAAACAGACGTTCACAATAGTGCCATTTCTACCTGACGTTTCAAGATAATTTGCAGTTGTCGCGTAAGCGAATAAAAGAATAAATTAAAACAAACTTAATGAACTTTTTAATATTGTGTCGATGCAAAAGCTGTGTTCTATATTTGAAAATTGGAAATATTGCAAAACCTTGGCATGGAGTCTAAATAACCGTAAAAATTTTCTCTATCTGTAACAATATAATATGATTCATAAAATTTATTTTGACTTTTTTTTTTCATTGTGTTAGGTAACAACAGAACATTATTGTCGAACGTAACACATGAGTTTTTCTTAGTTATAACCAGTAAAATTCTCTTAGTAAGCTCAAGAATAGTACTTAACAATAGTATTTATTTACATTACTTGCATAGAAATAACTTTGATAACTAACTAAAAGTTTAGTTCACTTGAATGAATTGAGAGAGACAAATTCAATTCTTCATCCTAGTGTTATTTATTGTCCACTCAGTAAATCATTATTTCATTTCTATATACAATGGAAGTTTCATCCGTATTGTTGTATCTAAAAAGTATTCCAAAAATGTATGTAGGATACATTGGAATGCTCTGAAGTACAAATCAAGATATGTATCTCGTTGGTATAATACTTGTCTTTACATGACTTTTTTTATTCTTCGAAGAAAAGTTCTAATAAAAACAATGCTGTTTTTTATTTATTGCTTGTTTGTTGGTATTGCAGTTAGATTCGTAATTGTTTCCTTATTTTCCATACGATGATGAGGAATCGAAGCAGTTGATATTGGTGTAATTCTATCATTCCGACAAAATATTGAACGAAAAAATTTGATTAATTCTTTACGAAATGTACGAGATGTAAGTGTATATAAATAAAATGATGTCACTGGAAATAAATAAAGCATTAACTCTGCTAGAAAAGTAAGAAATGCTTTAATAGCTATGTCTTCATTTGATTGATCAGGAAGCGTGGTTGAGATTGTAATAAACATTAAATTACATAATTGGGGAGTTGTAAATATAATATAACATATAATTTGCGTGAATAATATACGAAGAACTTGTTGATCGAGTGCATTTCGTTGATTATCACCTAACGATAGTTGTGTTCGTCTTTCATGTCTATGTACAAGGTTTTGACGAATAAGCCATGCAGTTGTAACCATAATTATTACTGGAATTATACCACCTCCAATAATTACATAAAGTCCATGATAAAGTGCTGCTGCCATATTATTTACAATGCCACAGAGCTTTTCTTTTATTTCATAAAATATAAGTCGATGAGAACAAATAATTGACCAAAAAATAGTAACGATAATAATTATACGATATGCTATTTTTGGTTTAGCAAAATTTCTTAAATTAATTTTGTT